ACATTCTGTGATTCTGTGACAAGATATTTGCAAGAAGAACCTGAACTCTGTCCTGACAGAGTCTCCAGCCAGCTTGATTCGTGTCTGTCCTTTCTGTAGGCGACTTGTAATTCTTTCCATTGGATGCCGAGAGGAATTTACCACGAGGTTAGGGAGGAGTAGGAGCAAATTGTGCTAATGACTTGGTGGGCAAATCACTTTACAGCTCAGAAGACTGGGGAAGAAATGTCAAGGTGAAATTTATCTCCTTCGTAGCACAGATGATAATTCATCAGGTGTGTTTTGAGTGGAGAATTTAGCTTCATAGTGGGAACATCAGAACTCGCTGAGAGGGAGGCAGCTGCCACAGGACTGGCTTAGTGGGCCTAAGTGGTAGCTGAAAGCAGAGAAAAGAACTAGAGATCTTTAAAGATATAAACTGAATTTAAGGTACTGATTTGGTCCTGTCTAGGCTAGACTGGCTGTCTCATTACAGTGTGCATGTGAGACAAAATGGATCAGTGGTAGTTCCAGCAAATTATTATTGTATATGACAGGTTTGATATCACAGGGTGGGTTTTTTTTCTCCCCCAAGTGAGTTTGTTTTGGTTGGGCTGGAGGGTAGCGGTATCTACCACTAACTCAGGACCTGGCTTTGAATGATGTATGCCTCCATTTTCAATACTTGCCTTGAAAAATAAACTGATCTTATTTTTTTGTTTGTTACAGGTTCAGGCAGCACAATCTGAGGCCAAGATAGTAGCTCAGTATCATGAGCTTGTGGCTACAGCTAGAGAAGAGTTTCAACGAGAGCTCGACAGTATCACCCCCGATGTACAGCCTGGCTGGAAGGGGCTAAGTAAGTCTCCGATTGCAGGGTCACTCTGTGCTTGTTCCATCCCAGTCACTGTGGTTTGTAGTGTTTCTGTAACTACAGCCACTGCATTGCATGTCCAGTGTCCTGTTTCCCATATTGTTTGGTTGGTTTGAAGTAACAATTAGTTCACAATTACAGTAAGTAATCTAAAGCAGGTGTTATGGAGAGGCTTAATCCTGGAAACTACCTGTGCTGTGTTGGAAGTTTAAAAAAATCATAGAATCATAGAATGGTTTGGATTGGAAGGGACCTTAAAGACCATCCAGTTCCAATCCCCCTGCCATCAGCAGGGACACCTTCCACTAGACCAGGTTGCTCAAAGCCTCATCCAGCCTGGCCTTGAAAACTTCCAGGGAGGGGGCATCTACAACTTCCTTGGGCAACCTGTTCCAGTGATGTACCTTTTGTATGATAAATATCATATCATTGTTTAAATACCTCTTCCCTCCCCTGGTATCCGAGGAAGAGAGCCAGGTCACTCCAGATGTGGATCAAATCTGTGTTGCTCACTGATCCGAGTATTTGGTTGACTCACTGTGATTCTAGCTATTATAATACATCATTATTAGAGAGTGATAAAGAGCTCCCTGAATTTCTCTAGATCCTCAGAGAAATTACAGATAAACTGAAGGAGAGAATTCACTGTCCATCCCCTACCTACCCCAGTACTCGTTATTTCTAAATTAACTTGGCACAGTAACCTACCTTGAACAACAGGGAATTCTGCACAGAAGCACTGACTGGGTGTCTTACGGTTTGTTTTTTGCTAGGACTGCTGCAGTTCTTTGCCTGAGATACGAAATCTCATGAGCTGCCTTTCCTTGTGCAGGATAAAGGGAGAACAGCTTGGGTTTTGTGACCGCTGCCCTTTTGGGGGAGGGAAGGGAATCTCCCAGTAGCTTCTGTGCACTCAGTTTCACACTGGTGTGACCCCCTGGAGTATGTACAGGACTGACTTGTTAGGCTCTCACTGCCGCTTGGGAATTTGTTTCTTAACCAACTGCCTCTGATTTATAAGAACCTAGAAATGTCAGACTAAAGTTTCCAGTGTCCTGTTGTCCTTCTTTACTTCAAACTTGTATTTCCTTGCTCTGGCTAAAACTTCAGCATCGATCTGTGGGTTTCTGAAGGTGTTTCTAGTGGTTGGGATGTTTTGGGCTAGATCTTGCCTATAATACAGAGAGACTTTTATACTTGATGCACTGTTCTTTCTAAATTCCTTAAGTCTTGGACTCATGTTTAAGTCCCTGTAGATAAGAAGCTCTTAGTTTTCTGTTTCACTTTTGCATGACTGACTTGCTGTAGTGAATGTGCATTAACTTTTCCAACCTCTCCTCTTTCTGTTGCAGAGATAACTGACTTAGGTGAGTTCCTGTAACTTGTTCTGGTCTTGTGAATGTCAGCTCTGCTCTTTGTTCTCTTTTACGTTTGTGTGGCACATCACTTTAAATTGCAGGCAGTATCGACAGAGAGGTGAAATGTTGCATTCCTAAAACATTTCGGGCTGAGGTGCACGTTGGGATCCTTCCCACTGGTTTTGCACATCTAGCTTAAATCACACAGTTTTTGTCTAGCAGCACCTCCCAGGTGAATGTGATCGCTGGCTGGTGAAAGCCAGGTGTAAATTTTCTTTGTGAATTTAAGCCAGTCGATACCTGCTGCTGAGATTCCAATGAGAAGCAGAAACTTTGACCAGTTCCAGTCGAGCTATGTGATGGTGTTTGTCCTCAAGTGGGCACACCTCGCAGCAGTCCTGGCTGGAGAGAGGTCCTGGACACACCAGTTCGACACGCCAGTGCCTGCTGATGCCACTGAAACATCTAGGTACTCTGTCCACTTGAAAAGCCACGTGGGGCCGCTCCGAGCTGCGGCACCAAAACCAGATCTGTTTAATTGGAAGTTGGCTTGACTCTCTGAACTTAATCTTCACAATTGATTTTAGAAATGTTGATTAACTCTTTGATTCTGAGGTTGATTATTTTTTCCCTTTTGATCAAAGAAATGTAATTTACAACTGGGGTGCAGTAAAACCCCGTTCTGTTTGTGACAGCGTTCAGTTCAACAGCTGAGCTTAGTGGTGCTGTTCAGCTTCCCTGCTCCACCCAGTCCTTTCTCCAGCACTCACCAGCAGGATGGCTGAAGGACTGTGGAATTTCACTTGCT